TCTCTCTCTCTCTCTCTCTCTCTCTCCCCGTAGCTCTCTCCCTTTTGAAATTCGCTTCCATAGAATTGGGCACCATTGCCCGTTTGGCCTTGCGAAGCAAAATAAAAATCAACAACAACAGCTACCTTGAGCACTGGCTGCAGCTTGCAGCACTGAAGCAGACCGTGATGAGCCAGGAGGGCACTGAGCACGACGAGGCACATTCGCAGTTTGTGCCCAACATTAAAAGGCAGGAGCAGGATATTCTTGTGGCTGTGCGACGATTGTCTGGGCAGGCCTGTGTTAGTAACTATGTTACTTCATTGCTCTTTTGTCATTAGCCCCAGTCGTCCAAACCATCGAGCACCCTACAGGAACTGATGGTGCCAATAACGGTTCCACTTCTAACAGCAGTCAGGCAGCAGAGTCGTCGAGCACATCCTCTGCGCCGGGCTCCGCTGGTCAGGGTATAGTCCTGGTGCTGCTGCTTCAAATCAGGAGGGTGAAGCCGCATCAGCTGGTGGCGGCGGTGGAGGTGGTAACAATACGCCACCTGCACACCAGCATGTTGCTGACGACGGTGGTGAGGCTGGCTCGCACCTGGACGTGGCAACCATTGCTCAAAACCTGGAGATGGCCCATGAGCTGGTGCTGGATGAAGACTACACACTGCGACAGCCAGAGGCTGTACCGGGCAGCTTTTTAACCCTTTGCATGCTGAACCCATTTTCTCCAATCCACTGGCTTTCCAGCGCACTCACTCTCTTGGTGGAGTATGCACTCATAGCTCCGAACGAAATGTATTCTCATTTCACTCCACCTCGATGGATTTTCATCGTCCTGGGCTCGTTGGAAAGATCAGGACCAAGCGAATCCATCCTGGCAGCTCTCAGCTCCATAGATACATCAGGGCAACTTCGACGTCCTCTCCAAACTACTCCACCGTGTCTCGGAACGGCACAACAACTCAAGTTCACATTCTTGTTCGGCTTCCTGACCAAATTCAACCGATGTTCACAATTCAAACTCCGCTGCAAAGCTGAGATCCAAGCCCTTCATTTGATGTCCATCACGCATGCGCCGTGCCAAAGGGAAATCCCCCGGCACGCTCCTCAACAAAAAGAAGTCATGAACAAAAAAATTCGCCTTAACTCTGGGCCGTGATTTCCGTGTTCATCATGTCGCCGCTCAATGAATTATTATCCTATCGCGAAGAACTTTGTATCTGCGGGAAGATGAGCTTTCCAACGGTGTATTGATTGTCGCAATGAGTTTATGTTTGACGAAGTTACGAAAGTTTGTACACCGGTCTATGCACTGCGTTATACTGAGCTTGTATACAAACTCCCATCTCTCCCCACACAACACTCCAGACTTGTATTTTGCATATAACAGGTACCTCAATGACGAGAATATAAACTGGTACATAAACTGGTGTATAAACTGGTTTATACCTCACTCCATAATTATACACCCACACTCATATACCAGATCTCCAATGAAGTTTATAAATTTCCATATACACTACTAAGGAGGTATATACACCACTAAGGAGGTAATACACCACTGAGGAAAACCATCAGAAAAAAACTCATTGAGGAGCTTTCTTTCACTAAAAAGGAGTGTATATAGCTTTCTTTCTCTAACGCTATATTCACTCCTTTTTAGGGAAAGAAAGCTATATTCACTCCTTTTTGCTCTTGAGCTTGCGCAAAGGAGAGGTATAAATATATTATAACAAGGGACCTCGTGTATATCGAGAAATATCGACCAGTTATAAAAACCTCGGCTTCGCCTCGGTTTTTATACTGGTCTATATTTCTCGATATACACTCGGTCCCTTGTTATAATATATACGTATAAACTGGTATATAAACTCCTTTTTTTAGGATCACACTAGTGACCCGCAGTCCGCCTTTCGACATGCACGACGGTCCCAACTTCAGGATCTCTTTCCTGTCAACGATGAAGAATACAACGTCGTCTTTTTGATGGAGGCTTACATTTCGCCTCCACGAAGACAAAGCGCAACATTAGATAGAACCATTCGTAATAGGTAAGTTTTACTGCGTCGTTGCCATTGGTGTCGTCGATGTCGCTGAAATAATCGTGTAACAGGTGCCTTGTGCTGCACCTGACGTTCGAGGCTGTCCTTCTTTCGCTGTTTCAGCACTCCGTCTGTCAAGGGCAGCACTCGACATGTGAGGCTGAAGAGCCCCGCGTGCCGCTACTTTGAGACAATTCTTGGAGAAAGGCGAGCCCTCCTGCGTTTTTGCATCGACATAGAATGCAGATAGCAGGGGCGGCGGAACTTCACTACAGACCGTTTTCCAATCGATATTCTCCTTTCCGCGTCCCTCGCAGAGCGGACGGAACATGCACAGCCATAATCCGTGGCACTGCCAGTGTTCTTGGAAACTGCTGCTTGAATAATGGCATCGTGATTCGTGGTCGTCCTCAGAAGAACCAAAGAAACGTTTGGGAATCGATTCAACAGGCTCGTGCTGATTCATTTTACTCTTACTTTGGAAAGGAGACGAACTCTACACGGCTGTCAAGAAGCGGCAACTTAGAAAGATGGCGTCGGTTCGAGATGGCATGGTAACCGCGCACGTGCCGTGGTCCGTGACTGGCTCATGTATGCACGCAAATGCAAGTCACAAACTCACAAACTGTCAAACATCGTCTTTGCATTTGGAGGAAATATCTTCGACTCTCTTTGGAGGTTGGCGAGGTTTGCCTAATCTTTACTTGATTGCGATGCCGGTATGTCCTCTCAATAATTAGAACAAAGAGAGCTGATGATCGCTTCATTGCTGAGCAGAAGTAACAATCAACTCTCCTCATGTCCTCAGTGCCAAAGGCAGACGACTGCAATTCCACAACGCTCATTTCACGATGATGGAAACAATAATCGTGTACTAGTACACTTGGACCATTTGGTCATCCCTATTCTAGCCGCTAGTCCGTCCAGCAAGCAGATATTGACTATTACGATAAGTACAACTGCGTGAACGAGGGCTCACGCAGCAAATTCAATTCAAGACGTGACTCCAGTCAAGAATTAGGGTCTTTACTCGAGAACTTCACAAATACACGTCAAGGCACCCCACAAAACTGATAGATGGCACGAACGAAGGACAAATAGGCTAGACAAAGTGTCCCAAGTGATTGAAAACAGCAGATCTACCAAATAAGACAGCTACATGTGCCTAAACAACGATTCCCATACAGTGCAGAGTAGTATCAGGCAGAATGAAAGCCTTGGAAGTGCACAAATACAGCCACGACCGCCACAAAAATTGGACGACCGCCACAAAAAAATTCTCACTGCTCTACCTCCTTGAAGGGTGAAAGTTACCAGTTATCCTATAGCGATGTCAGTTTATGCCTGTTGGAACCCCCCACAGCCCGCACGAAATACCTTTCAAATAATTCCAGGATGCAATTGCAGCTCCAGACAGGAGGAAGAAGAACACCGTGAAAAATAACCGCAACGATGCCCAAACTCTCGGGAAACGGCTGAAGTCTTCCTGAAGATGTTAACATTGAATAGCCATCGATTACCAGCGTGGTTTGGTGACTTTAGAACTGTTTTGAGACTTAGAACGAAGCGATATCTCAAATTTGATGGAATTGTTACCTGTCAAATGCGTGGGCGAGCAGGCCAGCTGACTGGTTATGCATGAACATGCATGAGCATGCATTGATTTTTCATGGTTCACGTGCAGAAAACTAAGTAAGTTGCCGCGATCCAAGTGCAGCTAACAGCCGTGTCTATGTCTCTAATGAGCAAACGGTTCTTTTACAGAGCCCGCGGTGAGATCTGCGCGCGGTAACGGTCACTAGCACTGTGAGGTTCAAACTAACTTACTTGGCGCATAGCTGTTACTTCCGGTGTAACTACAGTTGAACATCGATTATCCGACCACCTCTGGGCAGACAACTGTCAGGCGGTGTTCAGATAAGGCAAATGTTCCGGATAAGAAAACACACTGTAAATACATGTACATGTGGTACATTGTAAATAGAAAAGAGTGCTACTTTTCAAAATTTTCGTATTTTTTGAATGGCTCACTACATGCACAGTGCGTACTCTACGGCACGTGCGCCCAAAAAAACTGTTACGGATAATCGAATGGTCGGATAGTCGATGTGCGGATAATCGATGTTCAACTGTAGTACTAAACTGAAGTCACAACGAGTGTGTGATGGTACATGATTGTACTGCACTGCATGCACTGCACAGAGTCAGTGGTAGTCTTGTATGTACTTGCTCCGCACAGGTTGCTGAAAGGAAGACTCGTACTCGTCGAGCCATGGTTGTGGGTTGGATTTCCAATCTCTACCTTTGTGGGGGAGAGGGAGTTTTGTATATCAGCTCAGTATAAGCATAATATAACCTACTCAGTTGATTATATGGGAAATATAAACCAATATAAAAACCTCGGCTTCGCCTCGGTTTGTATACGTATCTAATATTGACTGAGTACGAGGTCAATATAGGAAATAAAAGTCGAGTAAAAGACCGAGGCGAAGCCGAGGTCTTTTACGAGGTTTTTATTTCCTATACTGACCAAGTACGAAGTCAATATTAGATTTATCACGACAAACAGTCTTTCAAATTCCAGAACGGATTACCTCATGAATCCCGGTTTTATGATTGCACAACCGTTGCACCACCTGGCACCACCTACTCATGCAGTGACAATGCTGCATTAGGCACCGTTCAACTGCGCAACCCCTAAGCAGTCAAATATAAGCAGTCAATATAGCCCTAAGGAGTGAAATATGCAGGAATATTTGACTGCTTAGGTATAGCGAAAATCTATGTGAGTCAATACTAAAGGGAGTGATAAAGGTTTATATTTCCCTTTAATAAACTGGTTAGGTTATTATTTTACTGGTTAGGTTATTATTATATACATATATCGCGCGATTTTTTTGAGAGTTGTACGTAGTGGATCAGGTCATGCATAAAGCGCGAGTTAACTCGTACTCAGCACGCAAAGGGTTGGCACAGGTGTGCAGTACAATGATGACGGCGTTCTGGGATCTGCTTCGAGAGCAGTTGAAGCAAGATCCTCCCGTGTTTGACCAGGTGCTCAACCCTGTTGCATGATGTCAAGGAGTACCTCCTGTCAGCATTACCGAGCCGTAGGGTAACGACGATGCACATGCAAATCGACATCGATCTGATCAAGCAGCAGATGCAGCAGGACATTCTCAACATCAAGTCGCTGGCACAGATTGTTCTTGACGTGATGCAGCGCATCTGTGCGCCTTCTCGAGATGCCGATGTGCAGCAGTTGGTTGCAATGCTCGGTGATGATGACCTGGACATTGCTGCTATCTTCAAGGGTATTCTTGATTTGCTGTCACTGATGCGTCTGGACCTGGCCAATCACGAGCTCAAGAGCATTCACCCAGTGCTTCTTCAGCATTCCGCTCGCTACGAGCGTGAAAGGTTTGAGCAGCTCTTTCCGGACGCTCCAGACTCTGGCCTTGAGCACACTGCGGCGTGGCTTACAAAGGCACAGCAGAGCTGTGCAGTAGCTGCACCTGGGCCATGCCCGCCTTTGGGTGTGCTGCGCCAGGCGTTTACCGATCTTATCACCGAGTCAGTGGAACATGGTCCCGAAACCTGGTGGCTGGATACGAAGCAACTTGAGATGTTGTCATTACAGCTGAAGTGTGCAGTCTTCTTGCAAACTCCATCTGTCCTATTTGGCGGTCTTCTTGGTCGGGAAATTGCCAACAGCGCCGAGTTTATGGCACAGCTACGCGACACTCTTTTCATTCTGTTGGATGATGGCAACATGGGAGATCCTGATGAAGCCCGTGGACATGTTTTCGACTTGAAATTGTTGTCATCACAGCTGAAGTGTGCAGTCTTCGTGCAAACTCTATCTGTCCTAATTGGCGGTCTTCTTGGTCGGGAAATTGCCAACAGCGCCGAGTTTATGGCACAGCTACGCGACACTCTTTTCATTCTGTTGGATGATGGCAACATGGGAGATCCTGATGAAGCCCGTGGACATGTTTCGACTTGAAATGTTGTCATCACAGCTGAAGTGTGCAGTATTCGTGCAAACTCTATCTGTCCTAATTGGCGGTCTTCTTGGTCGGGAAATTGCCAACAGCGCCGAGTTTATGGCACAGCTACGCGACACTCTTTTCATTCTGTTGGATGATGGCAACATGGGAGATCCTGATGAAGCCCGTGGACATGTTTCGACTTGAAATGTTGTCATCACAGCTGAAGTGTGCAGTATTCGTGCAAACTCTATCTGTCCTAATTGGCGGTCTTCTTGGTCGGGAAATTGCCAACAGCGCCGAGTTTATGGCACAGCTACGCGACACTCTTTTCATTCTGTTGGATGATGGCAACATGGGAGATCCTGATGAAGCCCGTGTACATGTTTCTGTTCAAGTTATCAGTTCAGTCGACAAGTACAGAGAAGCGCACGGCCTTTCACCTCTGGACAATGAACTCAGACAGAAGCTTGAGCTGGCAGTTACTCAGTCCCACTCTTTGGAGAACCCGCTGCATAATGTTCTATCACGTCGTCTCAAGGCCTGCATTAACCAGGCTATCACCAGCCAAGTGAAGCACCCTGCAGAGCTGGACGTACCAGGAGGCTTTCAGCTAGTGGAGCAGCGCCTTCGGTCGGTTATAACCTCGTTCTCACGCTTAGCAGTCTACAATCAGAAGGTGTTTGGCCCAATTTACAGTACTCTGCTGCAGCGGCGGTAAGCGTCTTGATGCACTTTGACTCGGCTATTTACATAACCTTATATCTTTGAAGCTACGCGCTTACATCGGCTCCATATGGAACTTACGCTCCAGTCTCTCCGGAGGCGTGGGTTCGAATCCCACCGCTGCCACCAATGTAACAGGTAGCCGAGGGGTAGGCGCGGTGCAATCAACAAGAGTTAGTTTTATTCTACTTCTCTCAGGTACACACCTGGAATATAATTATTAGTAAAAGAAGAAGCGGCAAATAAATGGAACTTTCTCTCCGGTGCACACCTAGAGGTTGACTACTTCTTCTTCGAGTTAGCTTTGTCGTTGCTATAAAACCTTAATCAAAACAGAAATGCGCAGCAGCTTTTATGCAACAGACGCCGTACGTTTACATACGGAGATACACTAAAATATACATCAGGTAAAGTTCCGTATTAGTTCCGTATTACTTCCGTATAAGCCGGGCAGGGATACTACACCAGGGCCGACATATGAATTGACCCTAACTTTTGTGTCTCTCAATGGATTTGAGTGAAATTTTACCACACCCTCCTGCCTCTATGCTGGCTCTCTGGACATGATTTAAAAGTTCTTGTGCCTCACTGACAGGCTTTCCAGGCCGGAAAAACTCAAAATTCCGGGAAAGTGCCACGGTGTGCGGGCCACTCAGGAGCCAAAGAATGCATTTACAATTTTTTCACATTTTCTTTCCCATTCTGTCCGTACGCGGGATCCAAACTTAAAAAAAGTCCACCGGCAGCCATGGGTGGTGGGATATGGCCCATCAACGTGGTCCTGGAATCTGAACTAAAATATAATAATGCAAATATTATTTGCATTCGAGTTGTACTAATATTGAAAAATGTAAATCGAAAGCGATTAGCTCTGTGCGGCTGAGGAAAAATGACATGGGGAAGATATAATCTCGGGTAAGATTGTGACAGCGCTCTCTGGAAATGGCTGCCACCTAAATCTATCCCTCCAACAGTCTTCAGTGAATTTCACTTCAAGAAGTAACCGAACAAACACTTTAATGAACATTGGTTTCACTGTAGCGGTGGTCTGTGGAATAGTTAGCGTCACCTCGCGTATTTTTGTATGTCTTAGGAAATTCAGGTTTGCCTATCTTTATACCAATTGTTATCCCAGTTCTGCATACTTACCGATGTCATGTTTAAATACATGAATTGCCTGTGTGTAAAACTGAGCTATTGTTTGGCAGCTATGTACAGCAGTTGACTCGAGCACATAAACCTACGGGTATTGCCCCGTAACAGTGCACATATCGTGAGTTTGATTCCCATATGGCTCATCAACTGGATGAGATTATCTCTCAATTCTCTTTTTTTGTCCCCACCAGTCACAGATGATTTTTCTAACAATTTTTTGGCACGCCTATTGGAGAGAAACTGCAAATATCTTGTGCATAACTATAAAAATTATTCCCAATTTCCTGGTTTCGCGTCTCTCAAACCACACCTGCTAGATTCAAGAGGCTATTTTTGTTTATTTTTTATTTTTATGTTGCATAACGAACGCAAACAGCAAAGGCACTATCCCACGCAAGAATGCTCAACTGCTACAAGAGCAGAAGCGGAATACTCATTCCGCGGACAGAACTGTTTCGTCCTCTGTGGACTCGTCAGCGCATTATTATTATTATTGTTGTTATTCAAACTCGGATAATGAGCCAGTATTAAAATGTAAAAAAGAGAAGAAACGCATAAGAACGAGTTATGCAGCAACTATCCCCGACTGTAACAAGATGATAAACGGTCAGAAAGTGCGATACCATAGCACAAAACGGAAAGGCTACTGAGACATTCAGCGACCCGAGACCTAGCTCTAACAAATGTCCAGTGCCCACACCGACAGCCTTCCAACCTGGAAGGTTCATGGCTACGTAGGACCGAAGAGGGGAAGGTAAGAGCAGCAAAAATGTGCACAAGCTAAGCCCCGCGGCAACAAAGAATGCCGGCTGTTACAGGACGATGACGAGGCCAGATAATAACAGGACAATGCGGTCTGACTACAATTCAAAACAGCAAAGCAACACACCACCCAACTTGGGTGGGTCAGCAATATCAGAGATAAAGGAAGGGGGAAGCTTTGCGTAAACGAATTGTACAAACCCGGACGCCAATATCTAACGGTACTCCTCATGCATGACACTATTGTGGAAGAGTCTACTACATCGCTGGGCTCACCTTCCCCTCTTCGGTCCTACGTAACCATGAACCTTCCCAGTTGGAAGGCTGTTGGTTTGCGCACTGGAGATGTGTTAGAGCTAGGTCTCGGGTCGCTGAATGTCTCAGTAGCCTGTCAGTTTTGTGCCATGGTATCGCGCTTTCTGACCGTTTATCATTTTTGGTTTTACACACAATTTTTGATAGGGTAATCCCCACAAAGGTCTTCTTACACGGTACCCTAAATGTGCCAATAAAAGGTTACGAGATCGAGAAACAGATGTGCATAGGCGAATGTCAGCAGGTAGAGAGTTCCAACGATCTGAGCCTAGAAAACTAAGAGAAAAAGACCATACCGATTTGAAGCAGTGGAAAGAGCCACATACTCCTGCCTCTATGCTGACTCTCTGGACTTGATTTAAAAGTTCTTGCGCCTCACTGACAGGCTTTCCAGGCCGGAAAAACTCAAATGTGTGCGAGCCACCCAGGAGCCAAAAAATGCATTTACAATTTTTTCACATTTTCTTGCCCATTCTGTCCATGCGCGGGATCCAAACTTAAAACAAGTCCACCAGCAGCCATGTGTGGTGGGATATGGCCCTCAACGTGGCCCTGGAATCTGAACTAAAATAAAATTTGCATTCCTTTTGTGTTGTAATAATTGATAAATATGGTGGTAAAGACACACCTGGCAATATGGCGGTAAGCACACGCCTGCCCACATACGCTCTCTAAGCTGCAAAGTTCTAACACAGAGCTCTCCTTTTCACCACCACCACCATCAGTTCGCGCCTGGCGTCTAGTCGATGCATGGTTGGCGGTATCCGACATAGCAGGCTGGTACATCAAGTAGCGCATGGCACATAGAAGATGACACAGCAACGACATTGCTCGATTGCGACGCACGTTTCGTCCCCGCTGGACTCATCAGGCAATCTTCTTCTTGGATGTCTTCATACGGAGCTTGGCTCGGGAGAATGAAGATGAAGACACCACTACAGCTGTACTTATGGTTGATTAATATGGTGGTAAAGACACACCTGGCAATATGGCGGTAAACACACGCCTGCCCACACACGCTCTCTAAGCTGCAAAGTTCTAGCACAGAGCTCTTCTTCTCACCACCACCACCATCAGTTCGCGCCTGGTGCCTAGTCGATGCATGGTTGGCATCCAAGAAGAAGATTGCCTGATGAGTCCAGCGGTGACGAAACGTACGTCGCAATCGAGCTATGCCGTTGCAGTGTCATCTTCTATGTGCCCTGCGCTACTTGATGTACCAGCCTGCTATGTCGGATACCGCCAACCATGCATCGACTAGGCGCCAGGCGCGAACTGATGGTGGTAGTGGTGAGAAGCAGAGGTCTGTGGCAGAACTTTGCAGCTAAGAGAGCGTGTGTGGGCAGGCGTGTGTTTACCGCAATATAGCCAGGTGTGTCTTTACCACCATATTTATCAACCATAAGTACAGCTGCAGTGGTGTCTTCAACTTCATTCACCTGTTGTAATAATAATAAAAAAGCAAATCGAAAGCGATTAGCTCTGTGTGGCTGTCGAAAAATGCCATGGGGAAGATATAATCTCGGGGAAGATTGTGGAAGCGCCCTCTGGAAATGGCTGCCACCTAAAACCATCTCCTCCACCAGTTTTACCCCTTTAACCGTCAGAACATACATTTGTAGGTCGAATACGTTTAAAAAGTGTTTGTTCGGTTCCTTCTTGAAGTGAAATTCACTTAAAACTGGTGAAGGAGATGGTCGTAGGTGGAAGCAATTTCCAGAGAGCGCTGCCACAATCTTCCCCGAGATTATATCTTCCCCGTGGCGTTTTTCGACACCCACACAGAGCTAATGGCTTTCGATTTGCTTTTTTCAATATTATTACAACACAAAAGGCGGGTTGCAAAAATACCTGTCCGAATCATCTTTTTTCCATTGCTTTTTCTTCTAAAATGTATTTTTCTTCACCATTAAGATGGTTTTTGCTTCGTTTCCATCGCTTACATTGATATTAGAGTAAACCGAATGTCACTTCAGCTCGCCCTACTTATTGCCATATAAAAGGAATGCAAATATTGTATTTTAGTTCAGATTCCAGGGCCACGTTGAGGGGCCATATCCCACCACCCATGGCTGCTTCTGGACTTGTTTTAAGTTTGGATCCCGCGCACGGACAGAATGGGCATGAAAATGTAAACACAATTGTAAATGCATTTTTTACTCCTGGTTGTGTCGCATACCATGGCACTATGCCGGAAGTTTGAACTTTTCCGGCCTAGAAAGCCTGTCAGTGAGGCGCAAGAACTTTTATATCATGTCCAGGCAGCCAGCATAGTGGCTGGAGTGTGTGGTGCAAATTTCACTCAAAACCATTTAGACACACCAAAGTTTAGGTCTATGTCAACATTATGTCAGCCTCTGCTCTTCCCCTGCTTCAAATCGGTATGGTCTTTTTCTCTTAGTTTTCTAGCTCAGATCGTTGGAACTCTCAACCTGCTGACATTCGCCTATGCACATCTGTTTCTCGCTTCCGTAACCTTGTATTGGCACATTTAAGGTACCGTGTAAGAAGGCCTTAGGTGAGCACTCTTGCGTGGGTTAGTGCCTTTGCTGTTTGCATTATGCAAAAATAAATAAAGAATATACAAAAATAACCTCTTGAATCTAGCAGGTGCGGTTTGGGACACACGAATACTGGAAACTGGGAATATAGTTATGCAAAAGATGTTGCAGTTTCTCTCCAATAGGCGTGTCAAAAGGTTGTTAGAAAAATCATCTGTGACCGGTGGGGACAAAAAAGAGATTTGATAGATAATCTCATTGC